GGTCTAATGAACTTAAAAAATTTAAATTTACCTATTATGGTCAAATATCCAAAATCTAAATACATGGCCATGGATTGATTCAGCATATCAAAGAATCCCAAGAATTCAATTTTTGATGAAATCAAACAAAGTTTAATTTTTGACCCTTTTGACTCAATGTGGACCAATTTGATAACAGGGCCCAAAAATCAAAAATCTAAATACATGGTTAGATTTAGCATACATGTACCAAAGAACCCCATACATTCAATTTTTGTTGAAATCAAACAAATTTGAATTTTGGACCCCAATTTGGACCAACTTGAAAACTGGGCCCATAATCAAAAATCGAAATACATGTTTAGATTCAGCATATCAATGAACCCTAAGAATTCAATTTTTGTTAAAATCAAACTAAGTTTTATTTTGGACCCTTTGGACCATAATGTAGACCAATTTCAAATTGGGACCCAAAATTAAAAATCTAAATACACCGTTAGATTCGGCATATCATTAATTCAATTTTTTATGAAATCAAACAGTTTAATTTTGGACCCCTTGAACAAATGTTGAACCTTATGTGGACCGATTTAAAAACGAGGACCAAATTCCAAAAACTTAATACACGGTTAGATTCAGCATATTTAAGAACCCCAAGAATTCAAGAATAAAACCCCATTGAAATTGATCAAGAAATAAGCAATTTAAACAAAATATTAGAAAAGTATTGTTTTTAGCCCCTTTTTGGCCCCTAATTCCTAAAAAATTTGGGCCATAACCCCCAAAATCAATCCCAACCTTCCTTTTTTGAAATGGAAACTTATGGTACAATTTTAGAAAGATCCATACACATCTAAACTAGAAAAATACTTATTTTGACCCCTTTTGGGCCCCTTGTTCCTAAATTATTGGGACCAAAACCCCCAAAATCAATCCCAACCTTCCTTTAGTAGTTATAAACCTTATGTTAAAATTTTATTGATTTCTATTCACTTATACTAAAGTTATCTGGAAACCATCCGTCTTCGGACGACGACGACGACGTGATACCAATATACGACCAAAATTTTTTTTATTTTTTCGGTCGTATAAAAATTGTTTAAAATTGACTATAAAGGGCAATAACTCCTTAAGAGGTCAACTGACAATTTTGGTCATGTTGACTTATTTGTAGATCTTACTTTGCTGAACATCACTACTGTTTACAGTTATCTCTATATAAAATAATATTCAAGATAATAACCAAAAACTGCAAAATTTCCTTACAATGACCAATTCAGAGGCAGCAACCCAACTATGGGTTGTCCGATTCATCTGAAAATTTCAGGGCAGTTAGATCTTGACCTGATGAACATTTCATGTCAGATATGTTTAAATGCTTTAGTTTCAGAGATATAAGCCAAAAACTGCATTTAACCCCTATGTTCTTTTTTTAGCCAAGTCAGCCATATTGGTTGGCAGGCGGGGTCATAGGACACATTTTTCAAACTAGATACCCTAGTAATGATTGTGGCCAAGTTTGGTCAAATTTGGCTTCATAGTTTCAGAGGAAAAGATTTTTGAAAAAGTTAACAGACCACTACGAAACACAATGGATGACAGACGCTGGACGCCAATTGCAAGTGATTAGAAATTTGACTTAGGTGAGCTAAAAAATGAGACTAAAACTCAAACACTTAACTTTGACCATTGAACCATGAAAAGGGGGTCAAGGTCAGATGACACCTGCCATCTAGACATGTACACCTTACAATCATTCCATACACCAAATAAAGTAGACCTATTGCATACAGTATAAGAAAACCAGACAAAAACACAAAAACTTAATTATAACCACTGAACCATGAAAATGAGGTCACGGTCAGATGACACCTGCCAATTGGACATGTACACCTTACAATCTTTCCATACACCAAAAATACAAAACATATTGCTTATAGTATCTGAGACATGGACTTGACCACCAAAACTTAACCTTGTTCACTGATCCATGAAATGAGGTTGATGTCAAGTTAAAACTGTCTGACGGGCACAAGGACCTTGCAAGGTATGCACATACCAAATATCGTTATCCTATTACTCACAATAAGAGAGAAATTAACATTACAAAAAAATCTTAATTTTTTTTTCAAGTAGTCACTGAACCATGAAAATGAGGTCAAGGACAACAGACATGTGACAGATGGAAACTTCGTAACATGAGGCATCTTAATACAAAGTATGAAGCATCCAGGTCTTCGACCTTATAAAATACAGAGCTTTTAAGAAGTTAGCTAACACTGCTGTAGCTGCTGCCACCACCAGATCACTATCCCAATGTCGAGCTTTCTGCGACAAAAGTTGCAGGCTCAACAAAAACCCTTTTTCAAGGGCATTAACTCTTAAAGAAAGTAAGTAGACAATCAGGGTTGGCAAAAACCTGGGTTTTATGACCACCTTGGTTTTCATGGGTGGACAATACAACCCTGTTGACAATTGCAGCCATGTTGCTTTAATATTTGTAAGTCTAAACATCCTTGTTTTTTACTAGTTTTCCTTATCTATAAAGATTTCTGCAAAAATGAAATAGAGAGCTGCACATGATATGCCTGTTGGCCATTTAGCTTGTCTTTATGCTTTAAATGAAATTCTATTACCGTCAATAGTGTGAAATTTTTTTCAACAACTTGTCAAAAAATGAAGTTCTCAATGTCATTTTATATATGAAAAAAACAATAAAAATCAACAGACATCTTATTTCAATAGATAGAAACAAGTCATCAAAGTTTAATGAAAACTGCTAAAATCATTTTTGAGTTATTGTCCCAACACTGAAAATAAATATTTTTTCAGGAATAAAGTCCAAATACTTAAAAACCATAAAATCAGATACTTAGGCCAGGGTTTTTTAATTTGTTGGTTTACGGATTCGCCGACCCTATTTTTCTGATTTGCAGAATAAAAACAAAATTGACATTTCATGCTTTTTTATTCCCCACGACCCTAACAAATGGATTTTCCCTGAAATATAAATAAAAATATTCTTTTTTATGAAATAAAACGCATTAATCACTGACAGAATTGATACCCCATTGTGTTGTGAAGAAATGAAAATTCAAAACTAATCCGCATGTTTATTTATCTAAAAATAGACATATCAATCTTAACTGTCCTTGAAATGTTGTTTTTGCGCAAATATTTTTGCGTTGTGAAACCTGTATGTAAAACCCCTTACAGTAAGTTCGTTTCCCCTTTTTGTCATAATTCCGTAAGATGTACCAACTCATAGAAATGGACTTGTCCAAACATGGAAGATGTTTAAGTTATAAGTAATATATATTCAGAAACAATTAAGAATTTTCTTGTTTCATAGATAATAAAAAAAATAATCGTCTAAGATCTATTTGGATATCAAAAACGAGAATGCATGACAACTAATGAATCCCATATCCTCGTCTTTCCAGTGGACGAGTCTATTACGTTTTTGACACGAATGGTAAAGATTATTTTCGTACCACGTGTTTGCAATGTTTATCTTTTAATAGTTTTTGTGCTTGATGATCATTATTCACCAAGTTTCCTGAAATTGATAAAAAGCAACGTGGATCTGGGTTTTTTGTTTGTTCGAATGACGGATTTAATTTCTTCGTTGTCCGTGGACATAACCCTCCCCCTTTTTGGAAATTTTATGACGATGGCATGCATTTGATGTTTATAACAGCTGAGCAATAATAATTCATGGAACTAGAATTTAAGAAATTGTGACAAAATAGCACACCAAACCTATCGTTAGAAAGGTGAAATATATTTTTCAAATGATTTTCTGTTTTGAAAGATTTTTTTTTCTTCTTTTTTTTTCGACTAAACGACCCAACTTTTTTATGTGAACTAGATGTGTCGAAACGACACGAATGATCCCGTCTCAAAAACTTGAAAAACTGCAATTTCAACAACACATGTGGACACAAACATGATGGTAATCTCACATATCAAAAATCAACTCAAAATTTGAAGGGGTATTGAAAAAAGTCCGTATAATTGTGATTTTCAACAATTTTCAATAAACATAAACCCTTAATTTTGACAAAAATCAGCAGAGCGGAACCTAACTTAAACGTGTTCTATAACTCATCATGGTTAACTCATATACCAAAAATCAGCCCAATATCTGAAGGCGTTTAGAAAAAAAGTCCGTATTACTGTAATTTTCAAAAATTTATCAAAGTCCAAAGCAGTAATTTCGGCAAAAATCACCTGAGCGGAATTTAACTTAAACTTGATCTATAACTCATCATGGTTAACTCACATACCAAAAATCAGCCCAACATCTGAAGGGGTTTAGAAAAAAAGTCTGTATAACTTTGATTTTCAACAATTTATCAAAGTCCATTATATATAAGACCGTAATTTCAGCAAAAATTAGCGGAGCGAAATGAAACTTAAACTTGATCTGTAACTCATCATGGCTAACTCACATACTAAAAATCAGCCCAATATCTGAAGGTGTTTAGAAAAAAAGTCTGTATAACTGTGATTTTCAACAATTTATCAAAGTCCAAAGACCGTAATTTCAGCAAAAATTAGCGGAGCGGAACGAAACTTAAAACTTGATCTGTAACTCATCATGGTTAACTCACATACCAAAAATCAGCCCAACATCTGAAGGCGTTTAGAAAAAAAGTCTGTATAACTGTGATTTTCAACAATTTATCAAAGTCCAAAGCCCATAATTTCGGTAAAAATTAGCGGAGCGGAACGAAACTTAAACTTGATCTGTAACTCATCATGGTTAACTCATATACCAAATATCAGCCCAATATCTGAAGGCGTTTAGAAAAAAAAAAATATAATGGTTTGTTGCAGAATGACGGAATGGCGGAATGACGGAATGACAGAATGATGGAATGACAGAATGATGGACAAGGGTAAAACTAAATGGCATCGATAACTTCATTGTGGGGCCATAAAAATTCCGTAAACCAACAAATTAAAAAACCCTGGCCTTATATATTTTCATATAAAAGGGTCTTTAAATATACTACCTTGGTCAGCATTCTGCATTTTTGCTGGTAATGATTGAGAATCAGGATAAGCTTTGATGCCATCTAAATATAAAAAAAATCAGAGTGTTAACATTTATTAAGTCAACAAATGCTTGACAAAATTTATCAAGATAAAATATGCCAGATGCAGTTTTATTGTCTGAATTTAATGTGGGCCTGTCAATATAATTTAACATAAGAAGGCATCACTAAATTTCATTGCAAAGCCTGTATCTATTATTTAGGATATAGAAATAAGACTACCAAACTCAATTTTTTTGTCTTTATTGCAATCTTTGGTAGACTACAGAGTTGGTAAATTTTTCTATGATTTCCTTTTATAACTTAAAGTAATAATCATGCAACTTAAATCAGTTTAAGACAATATTTTACTACATTTCATTTTTAGAACTGCCATTTGAGTCTTGCAAGTAGGTCATAGTTGTTTACTTTGTCGGGTTGTTGTCTCTTTGACACATTCTTTATTTCCATTCTCAATTTTACTTGTTTCTTTATTATTATGAGGCTGACTTCATACAGGAACTTCTTAGGAAGAAAGATAAGAAGAAAGCAATATCCTTTAACTTTACTTTCCGCTATATATATGATGTTCTCTCACTAAATAATTCCAAATTTGGTGACTATGTTGAACGCATCTATCCCATCGAACTAGAGATAAAGGATACTACAGATACAGTTAAGTCGGCCTCATATCTTGACTTACATCTACAAATTGACAATGAGGGTCGTTGAAAACAAAACTTTACGACAAAAGAGATGATTTCAGCTTTCCAATTGTGAACTTTCCATTTCTAAGTAGCAACATTCCAGCAGCACCTGCATACAGGGTATATATCTCCCAATTGATACGATATTCCCGTGCTTGTATTTCCTATCATGATTTTCTTGATAGAGGGTTGCTGCTCACAAGGAAGCTATTAAACCAAGAGTTCCAAATGGTGAAGTTGAAATCATCCCTTTGCCATCACGAGTTGGTTGACTGTTATGGAATAACCGTTTCACAGATGATATCGGATATGTTCGTGTTGCTAATTCTTTAGTTTTCTATGTTGTGTCATGTGTACTATTATTTGTCTGTTTGTCTTTTTCATTTTTAGCCATGGCGTTGTCAGTTTATTTTCGATTTATGAGTTTGACTGTTCCTCTGGTATCTTTCGTCCCTCTTTTACTCAAGCAGATAATTAACAACCACATATTTCAGTTATAATGATTAATTCCTATAGATATAATAAAACTGAGAAGGGAAATTAGAGATGTGTCAAAGAAAAAACAAAACCAAATGTCTGATATTCTTGTATTGTAGTTCCTGAGTTATTAGTTTTTTTTTTATTAATTGCAAGCATGAGAATGTATTATTATTACCTTAAAAATTTAGTGATACATGTGTATTCCTTATATTTTAGAAAAAAAATAATTTTTGGATGTGTTTTCCGTTTTCAGAAATTTGTTCATACTTTAATTAGAATGCTATAAATAATTTGTTTTTAATAAATGAACTATTTAAACTTAGTTTAATTGTCACTACAAATATAACATTTGTATAATACTAAAATTGAAGACCTTTTTATTTGAAGGCTTTATTAACTAGAGGCTCTAAAGAGCCTGTGTAGCTCACCTGTACTTACTGATGCTTTGGAAATCATGTAAAATAAGGTTAAAATCACAATTAATAGTATTAGATATTAGATATTATAATGATATCTGAAAATAACAAATAAATTGCTTTGCTGAGCGCAGCTGGATACGACAGCATTTTTACAATGTTACAGCATAACATCAAAAAATCTCCTTTTTGAGTGCATAAAATATTGGTTATATCACATGAAACTCAATATAGAGTACCATATATCATTGTAAAGCTTCAAGCTTCAACTGTCATTATTTTTCCATCATATTTTAACCTAACCAGACATATTTTCATAGCATTTCATGAATATAACATAAATTGTTAGGGGTGTGTAAAACATTATGAAGCAGCTAACAATGTTCACAGAAATTGATGGTGTCATGTGTTAAAACAATTATTGGCCAATCAAATCAGTATATATCATTTAATCTGCACAGACAGGATGACCTTTAATAACCTGAAACTCCTATGCCGTTTGGGTTTATAAGGGTCACCAAAGCCTTGCAGAATAAATGATATATTCCGACTTGCTTGGTCAATAACTATAACATAATGTCTAGGCTAATAAATATTGATATGATATGATGATTTATATTAATAAATACTTTTCACTGTTTAATCTTTTGATTTTAACTTGCAATCGTACAAAAAGTACATTGAAGCTTTTACTTGCCAATTGGACAAGTATGGCTGCAGCTTTTACTTGGCAAATGATGACTTTCACTGATCCTGGGCAATCAAACAATCAATAATGTTGACCCTGCTCTGATAATATGTCTTTGGGGAAAAGTCAAGACTCTATCTATATGTAAACAATAAATATAAAAAAAATTACCTTTGTCCATAAGATAAAAAAACTTTCCAACTTTTGTAATTTCTTGAACAGCCAATGGACATTGGTACACATGTTTATTGATTTCTTCTGAATGGCCCATGTGTCTATAAAAAGCCTGCCTGTCTGTCTCTGGTACATCCAAGTTTGCAAACACAGTTGACATGTAATGTCTCATTTGGGTGGCGTTAATCTCTTTTGTCAGCCCTGCCTGCTTACATACTTTGTTTACACTATTCCATCCATTTACATGAAAGTTGGAACCTTTGATATTTGGAAATACATATATATTACTAGGTTTTACACCTGCCATCTGTCTTATCAGTGGATCAGTAAGCTTTCTTATAGCTTTCCAAGAATCTTTCGGAATGAGCATTGGGAGCATATGGCACACACTTTTGCCAGACTGATATGACAATTTGTATATTTCAAATAATTCAAGTTCCTCTGATGTTTTGGCTTTTTTCTTGTGGGTTTCATCTAACCAGACACCATCTTTTGCATCATTCCATTCCTTTATAGTAAGTCTACTTGGTTCTCCTCCCCGCTTGGCATTGAACAGTGTAATTCTGGCTACCACAAGATCTCTAAGCCGGGGATATTCATTCATATCTAAAATCTGGTATGGGTCATCCATCTGAGCAATTCCAGTCAAAGTGTAATTCCGCAATCTTCTTACATCATCATCAAGAGGTAAATATTGTGGTCGTCTAAGGTTTTCCTGTCTATTCTTAATACAATTGTACTCAGCTCCATCGAATATCTCCTTTCTGTAGTAATCAAATAATGTTTTGAACTCCTCAATTTTTACCAGCTCATCTTTCTTACCCTGCAATAAATGCTGCCCTTTTATGTGTCTAATAACATTTTTTAAAAGATGACCTACGTTTTTTTTTAATCCAGATTTCATACCACCATCATCTTTTGCAGCCATCACATGGATAGCATCCATAAAAGTGGTAAAGTGTTCCATTTTAAACATGTCTAATGTTGCATTTATGTCTATGCCAATTTTAGCTGCCTCGCTTTTAAAACAAAAGAAAAGATTTGCTAGCATCCTCATGTGCTTCATTATATTTTTTCTGTTCTGTGGGTTTTTGTCCTTCCTTGCTGCAAATCTTCTGTAACTGTAAAATCCAAAATCTTTTAGGTATTTATCAGTTTTACAAAACTTTCCACTTGTGTCATCCAAAAAGCCACTTAAGATGTCTGCCTTATAATCTTCAGAGTAACCATCATCTCTAACAGCAGAAAGTGGAATTGCAGTTGGTGTTATTGTTGTTCCCTCTGCTGCTGTACATTTGATTCTGTGAATCTTCAAGTGTTCTTTTACAAAATACCCCTGACATGAGGAACACATAACCCTATTTTCCATTGCATTTCCTTCCCTCTGTTTTCTTGCCTGCCTTTCCTTAACTATTTGATTCACATCAAAGTCATCCTCTTTCATTAGCATCAAGTTGTACTGGTGATAGCCTCTCCTTTTCAAATTGCACAAGACCTGATTTCTGTCCTTTACTGGAAGCTGCTTTGCTGCCTTTACCTCATCGTTGTTTCTATGTTTAGTTAGAATATGCCTGCTTAATCGACTTTGAAATATACCACAAAATGGACATGGTCTTTTTGGATTTCTTGTTCCTTCAAAATAGAATAATAATAAATAAATAGCAAATTATCAATATGAACTCAGACCAAACACAAGATTAATTATAAGACCATGTTTTCCTCATCTGGAATCTATGCTTTTTGTATTTTTTAATGATTTTCAAAAGTAACTAGCTGCGCTATGAGTGCATGATACGCCCATCGCTTTTTCAAAGAAATATGTTCCACAACTCCTCAATGTCATATCAGATTTTTATTAGAACTAATATACATGTGTCCATAGTACAATGGTGCACCACTCACACTATCATATCATAGGGAACATGTGTACTATATTAGTTTCAAGTTGATCGGACTTCAACTTAATAAAAACTACCTTGACCAAAAACTTTAACCTGAAACAGGACAGACAGAAGGAAGGAGGGATGAACAGATGCATAGATAACAAGAATGTGTCAATAGTACACGGATGCCCCACTCGCACTATCATTTTCCATGTTCAATGGACCATGAAATTGGGTAAAAAATCTAATTTGGCATTAAAATTAGAAAGATCATACCATATAGGGAACATGTGTACTAAGTTTCAAGTTGATTGGACTTCAATTTCATCAAAAACTACCTTGACCAAAAACTTCAACCTGACACTCGCACTTTCATTTTCTATGTTCAGTGGACCGTGTAATTGGGGTCAAAAGTCTAATTTGGCTTTAAAATTAGAAAGATCATATCATAAGGAACATGTGTACTAAGTTTCAAGTTGATTGGACTTCAGCTTCATCAAAATCTACCTTAACCAAAAACTTTAACCTGAAGCGGGACAGATGGACGGACGAAGGGACAGACGCACAGACCAGAAAACATAATGCCCCTCTACTATTGTAGGTGGGGCATAAAAAAACATAATGCCCCTAGGTGGGACATAAAAAAGTTAAGGGATGTTAATTTAAAACATATAAACAGGCATATGAAAATTATGGTGCTAATTTTATAAAACCTTTGTTTAACTGGTTACTATGCTTTTTAATTTTGCATTTTAAATTATACAATGATACAAATTTTAAAATATATTCCTCAAGTTTAATTCATTTAGGCTCTTTGACTGGCCATTTTCAATTCAAATCTGTAAAAGAGGGACAAAAGATACCAGAGGGACAGTCAAACTCATAGATCGATAACAAACTGACAATGCCAAGGCCAAAAATAAAAAGACAAACAGACAAATAATAGTACATTGCATGGAACTCACATCAGTTAATTTATGTATCTAAACTCAATTGTTTCGTTTATTTTTTCTGTATTTGGAAGGCAATTCATTTGGCATTACACAAATCTCTATTCCTCTAATGTTCATGAAATTCGTGTATTAAATCTTCCCTAAAGGATAGCCAAGTATATCAACAGTGATTGGTATCCAACAGATATTAATGAATCCACAGTATAAGGAATCAGTAAATTCCATATGGGGTGAGAGCGAGCGAAGCTCAACCACCAGATGGAATTAAACAGAACAATTAATTATTTAGTCAGAAAGTCAGTATCTCTAAAACATGATTAATGTCTAATAACACAAACTAGATGTGTCAAAACGACACAAATGGCCCTGTCTCAAAAAATTGAAAAACTGCAATTTCAACAACACATGTGGACACAAACATGATGGTAGTCTCACATATCAAAAATCAACTCAAAATTTGAAGGCGTATAGAAAAAAAGTCTGTATAATTGTGATTTTCAACTATTTTCAAAGTCATAAACCCTTAATTTTGACAAAAATCAGCGGAGCGGAACTTAACTTAAACTTGATCTATACTTAACTCATCATGGTTAACTCACATACCAAAAATCAGCCCAATATCTGAAGGCGTTTAGAAAAAATGTGTGTAACTTAAACTTGATCTGTATAACTCATCATTGTTAACTCACAGGGTGCATAACTGTGATTTTCAACAATTTAGCAAAGTCCAAAGCCCGTAATTTCAGCAAAAATTAGCGGAGCGGAACAAAATTTAAACTTGATCTGTAACTCATCCTGGTTAACTCACATACCAAAAATCAGTCCAACATCTGAAGGCGTTTAGAAAAAAACTCTGTATAACTGTGATTTTCAACAATTTATCAAAGTCCAAAGCCCGTAATTTCGGCAAAAATTAGCAGAGCGGAATGAAACTTAAACTTGATCTGTAACTCATCATGGTTAACTCACATACCAAATATCAGCCCAATACCTGAAGGCGTTTAGAAAAAAAACTCTGTATAACTGTGAAATTCAACAATTTATAAAAGTCCAAAGCCCGTAATTTAGGCAAAAATTAGAGGAGCGGAACGAAACTTAAACTTGATCTGTAACTCATCATGGTTAACTCACATACCAAATAACAGCTGAATATCTGAAGGCGTTTAGAAAAAAACTCTGTATAATGGTTTGTTGCGGAATGACGGAATGATAGAATGACGGAATTATGAAATGACGGACAAGGGTAAAACTATATGGCACCGACAACTTCGTTGCGGGGCCATAAAAATTAAAGTTATGTATGTTTACAATGCATATGTTAATTTCAGAAAAACACAGTTTTTGTTTTAAAGGAATATGACTCTTCTTCTTACTGCATGTGTATTCAAATTGAACCTTGCTAACTGACAGTGTATTCAAAATAAAACACCCCCAATATCCTAATATTAAAAATGCAGAGTTCCCAAATGTTTGCCAACTGGTCATGCTGGTACTCCTAGAAGCTGACTTTTATAAACCCTGAAACCAAATTTCAGAAATTCTTGTATGGTAGTTCTAGACAGTCAGAGCTCTGACATAAACAAGTCAGAATAAAATGACTTCCATAGGTCAGATATAATTTGATGTAAGTGTTGTCTCCCTTCTTGCACTCAACAGATCATGACTTGTACAGGTCAGTTTATGTCAGACTTTAATTTATCATAAAATGACTTCCACAGGTCAGATTTTGCACAAAATATTGTGACTTAATATCTTCATATTCTAATAAGATTTATGCCCCTTTTTAATGCATTTTGACTTCGAGAGGTCATTTTTGTTCTGATTTGAAGCAGTCATTACTACCACTTTGTTATCAATCTCCATAAAAATATGGTGATTACTAGTTTCGAATTAAAGAGTTTTAAAAAGTGGGGCTCATCTGACATCATACCTTCTCCTTTCCAGAATCTAAACATAATATATTTATCTCATCACTTTCAATTATTTCAAAATACAAAGAAAAACCAGGTGAGAAAAAATGGATCATACAATTTTCTGAATATCAAAAGATTTACAAAATACAATATTGGATACATTACATGACAATACTTCAAATCTTCCAAGGAAAAACAAGACACTTATTCATGATAAGACTATGTTAATAAAAGATATATTCTCATCCACTTTAAGCTAAATGTATTAAGAGCAAAACATTTATTATTTTAATATTTCATTGAGGTAAATACTGTTGTGCAAACTGACTCAAACAAGTCACATTATGTTCTGACTTACTAAACGTATTACAACTTTTAAGTCTAGTATTGTCATATTGATTTAAAAATGTATAGGTAAGCCAGATAAAAGACTGAGGAAATTAGGTCCCCCAAAGTCACAATAATGAGGACTATAAAAAAGTTTATTTGGTATATTCAATATTAAATGTATTTTTTTTTAAACAGGTCAAATCATGTTCTGACTTAAAAGAGTCCGTCCAAAACTAAAATAAATTTATTGAAATATTTAAGCCGGTCATTGCCATATGATATTAAATGAATGTATGGGAACGTCAGATAAAAGACACAGGAAATATATGTTAAGATCCCCTTAAATAAATAACCATTTGACTTAATTGTTTCTAAAAGTTTATCAAATAATAAACTCGAAAATGGCAGATTCAGAATCAGTCTGAAAGCAAGGACTTTCTTGGATTAAAGGAAGTACACCTAGCTTTGATTGGAAATTTTGTTCTGTAAACTGACTTTAACAGGTCAAATCATGTTCTGACCTCAAAGAGTCAGTCAAAACTAAACTTATTACAACTTTTAAGTCTAGTATTGTCATATTGATTTAATAAAATGCTTCGCTGGGGCGCAGCTTGATACGACCGCAGAGGTCGAACCCTGAACAGTTGGGGCAAGTATGGACACAACATTCAAGCTTGATACAGATCTAAATTTGGATTGTTATTAAATATTTGACACTGCATAGGTTTCTGACACAGAAAGAATGTGGTCTAAGAACTTGAATTTTTTTAATTTACCTATTATGGTCCAATGTCCAAAATCAAAATACATGGTAAGATTCAGCATATCAAAGAACCCCATATATTCAATTTTTGTTAAAATCAAACAAAGTTTAATTTTGGACCCCAACTTGGACAAACTTGAAAACTGGGCCCATAATCAAAAATCTAAACACATGTTTAAATTCAGCATATCAAAGAACCCCAAGATTTCAATTTTTGCTTAAATCAAACTAAGTTTAATTTTGGACCCTTTGGACCTTAATGTAGACCAATTTAAAAAACGGGACTTAAAATTAAAAATCTAAATACACGGTTAGATTTGGAATATCAAAGAACCCCAATAATTCAATTTTTGATGAAATCAAACAAAGTTCAATTTTGGACCCTTTTGACCTCAATATGAACCAATCTGATAGCGGGGCCCACAAATAAAAAATCTAAATTCATGGTTAGATTCAGCATATCAAAGAACCCCATATATTCAATTTTTGTTGAAATAAAAAAAAGTTTAATTTTGGACCCCAACTTGGACCAACTTGAAAACTGGGCCCATAATCAAAAATCTAAACACATGTTTAGATTCAGCATATCAAAGAACCCCATATATTCAATTTTTGTTGAAATCAAACAAAGTTTAAATACTGGACCCTATCTTGGACCAACTTGAAAACTGGGCCCATAATCAAAAATCTAAACACATGTTTAGATTCAGCATATCAAAGAACCCCAAGAATTCAATTTTTGTTAAAATCAAACTAAGTTTAATTTTGGACCCTTTGGACCTTAATGTAG